CACACACACACACACACACACACACACACACACACACACACACACGCTCACACACACAAACTGGATGAACCTCTGAATGTGGAGCATAAGCCTAGCAGAGATGACTATTTTGACTGGATCACATTGAAGAACATCAAGGAGCTGGAGGACAGCCTTGTTGTGGAGTGTGCTTAGCATGTGCTAAGGCACTGGGTCCCATGATGGAACTGAAGGATGCATTTACAGACTGAAAAAGCCACCAAGACATGAGTACAAGAAATGAAGAGACCCATACTCAGGCATATGGAAACACTCTAAAGGGGAGCAGAAAGGAGAAAGGACTATATATTCCAAGAGCATTCAGCAATACTGACAACAAGAAGATTAAAATGCATTGTCTAACACAGTCTTGGAAATGACCTCTGACCTAGCCAGGCTAGAGGGAAAGAAGCCATATTCTAGGGTCAGCAGATGTCTCAGCAAGTGAAGTACTGGCCACAAAAGCCTGGCAATCTGAATTCAAGTCTAGGGACTTGTGTAAGGCCAGAACCAACTCCTAAAGTTGTCCTCTAACCTGCACAGAAGCGGATATACCCAAAGACAATACACCTGCCACATCAATCAAGAGATACTTATGAAAGAACTTTAAAACTCACCACCCTACAAATTCCCTACAAAAAAAAAAAAAAAAAAAAGCAGTAACCTGCCTGCCTTTACTCACCTAGATGCACCCTTCCAATAATCTTCTGTGTGCCCACTCCTTTGGCAATGCCAGCCCACCGACGGTCCACCAGTCTCATTATGTTACACCTTTCTGCACAAGCCTGGCTCATAATAGTCATCTGGGCACCTGGAGGGAGAGAAGAGTATCAGACTGTAAAATATAAATGCCATGTAACATCATCCTGCTTAGCTGATCTTTGATTTATTTTTTAAAACCCCTGCTTTTCCTCCTGCTTCCACCTGAACGCTCCAGGATTTTATAGAGGTGCACCAACAACCCCTGCTCAATTCAATTTTCATTTCCATACCAGAACCTAACATAGCACAGAAGTAGGACTGAGAGAAAGAGTATGTTGTTTATGGCGTAAATGAAAGCTACAATTTCACCAACAGAGAACAAGCTTATCAGGAAGTGACCTTCTAAAACGCAATGCTGCCACTGTGTCCGCAGACAGCAATGTTATGTTAAACAGTTCTTTACACTTAGAACATTTCATCTTTTTGTTTCTTGCTTTTTAAGTCAGTCTCATTCCCTGTGTAGCCAAAGCATTCTTGAACATGCAATCCTCATTCAGCCTCCTGGGATTACCGGTGTGTACTTCAACACACAAATTCAAGTGAATTTTACTTAAAGGTTAGAACACTCCAGTTAGAAGTATAGCTCAGTGGTAGACCACTTACCTAACATGGACAAGGAACCCCAAAACCATGTTAGAAAAAAGCTGGGCATGGTGGCACATACCTTTAATTCCAGCACTCAGAAGGCAGAGGCAGAAGGATCTCTGTGAATTGGAGGCCACCCTGGTCTACAGAGTGAGTTCCAAGACAGCCAAGGCTACACAGAGAAATCCGCTCCCCGCTCCCCAACACCCACAAAAACAACAAAAAAACAAAAAGTCTCTATTTTTCCCCAAAGTTAGAAATGAACCTACACATGACTCCCCTTTTCTTTTAAGCCTGAGGGCAAGTAGGATGGTTTCTTTTTGGCTTAAGTTCTCACCACAGCTCCAGCGCTGTCCAGCTCAGGACTCTTGTGTCTACCTCCTGAGGTGCTAAGATCACAAACATGCTCCATTGTACTCCTATGAAGTTTTATACAGTGTTGGCATCACATCCAGGGCCGTGTGCATGTTAGACAACCATACTACTGGCAGTACTTGAGAGCACTTTCTCTCTCAGGGTGCATGTCCTCAACTGTAGCAGGCTGATACTTCAGTAATCTTTGTTTGGCCCTAGCCTCTTCCTTGAATGCTGTCTCCTCCCAAACTCATTTCAGATCTTTGCCAATGAAATGACCTTCTCACGATCTTGAAACTGTGGTGTAGTTCAATGGTGACTCCCACTGTCTTCATTCTGCCCTTCGACTGTCCTGAACCTACAAGTAAGGTCTCTGCAATGCCTGCTATTTCTGACCTTCTCTCATCTCACCACAGCTGTTGGTCTGGCTTTTGCCCGTCTTCCTCCTGAGTGGAGTCTTCTCTGGCTCTGAACTTGTGCCACGCATATGTAATTTAAAGCAAGTATGACCCTCCTCAGAGTTATGCAATTCTTCCAACTCTGACTCTGCCCATAGTAACCCCAAACTATCACCTTCAAATCATTTCTTCACCTATTCAATAACCTTCAAAGGGTCCACTTTTTATAAAACAGGGTCAAGTCACAGTGTTTCAATGTCAGGCCCACTGCATCCTGTTCATCTTCATTCGTACATTCTCCCATCTTGTTTTTGGACAGGGTCTCACAGCACAGGCTAGCTTCAAACTCACTGAATGATGAGAATGGTCTTAAATTTCTGATCCTCTTGCATCTACCTCCCAAGTGCTGGGGTTAAGGTCTGTGCTATCATGTTCAATTTACAGAGTACTAGATCAAACTCAGATCCTATCTACCAATAACCCCAGCTCTACTCCTACAGTCTCATTATAACCAGACAGCATTTCTAGATAGGAGGAATGTATCTCCTAGTCACTCTGGCCTCTTATATAGGATCCTTCCCCTAATCTCATTTTCTTCAAGTTTCAGCTGTGCTTAGGCCTGGCTCCAAACTCAACTGCCAAACCTGTTTTCTAAATTCACTGCACATTCTGGGCATTAAGCACCCATACCTTGTGGGAACTGGCAGATCTTGGGCACAAAAGCAGTTAGAGCAGTGACTAAGGTGCTACAAAATGGTGGTAGTGACTGCTTAGCAGGCAATGCCCTGGGTTCTACCCTGACCACCTCCACAAAAAAAAAAAAAAAAAAAGCCAAAACTCCTATGAGGTCCTAAGTCTAGGCAATCTAGAAGGCAATTCTGTTCTTGTTCCCACAAATGAATGTGGGGAAAGTTAATTTAGCTCACAGCCACACCTCTCTAGGCCTTCATGTCCCTACCCATAAAACAGGAACACAGGATGACTCATAGGGACGGTCTGAGGTAGAAATGCAATGCTGTAAAATGCACCAGGCCTCTAGCATGGTGCTTGGCATACAGGAAGGGATGACTGTGCACTGGGGAGCCATGCATTTGTTTGTTTCTCACATATATGTCCTGAAGCTTCCAACAGGTGGCTTTACCATTAAGCACTCAACCCAAGGCACTGTACCCAGCACTAGATAAGCATTTAAAAAAGAAAAAATACGCAATTTTTCTTTACATGTATGTATACATGTGTGCTACATGCATTCAGGTGCCTGCAGAGGGCAGATGAAAGCCCTGGAGCTAGAGTTACACACAATTGTGAGTACCTAACATCGGTGTTGGGAGCCAAACTTTGTTTCTCTAGAAGAGCAGCTAGTATTCTTAACCACTGAGTTATCCATCTCTCTAGCCCCTTGGTAGGCACTGTTCAAACATATGCATCAGTTTCTATCTTCAGTTCTTTGGGTATGCGGCCAAGAACCTGGAAACGCCTCCCAGGTCCTGACTACCAGTAAGCAACAGTAGAAGACAGGGATACTCCAATATAAAACCAGGTAAGAAATGACTGGGAAAAGAAATCGATCACCAACACAAAGACAGAAAATGAAAATGTAACTCCCAGGCATCAGCAAGCAGAGCAGAGGACCACAGTGTTTAAGGTACTAGACCCCCCTCCCCATCATCACCTGAGTCAACGAAGGCTTTCACAGGATGCCCATTCACTCTGCAGTTGATATAGAGCATGGCGACCTGGCCGAAGCTCTCCGGGGCCTCTTCCATAGCTATCGTCATGTTCTCCTCGATGTTCTGCTGCCTGTGACAAGCCAGAGCAGCACACTGAAAGCTCCGTTTCCAGGAAAGAATACCACAAACACATTTGTAAATGGTTTTTGCCCTAACTGTAGCAGCTGAATCATAGAATGGAAATTGGTTCTGTTTTTTCCCAACAGGTGACTCAGCAGGAGGTGATGAGAAACAGAGCCGGCAAAAGACCTAAGACCAAACCATCCTTTTACAAAGCAATTATGCTTCTTTAAAAGCTCAGAAATGGAAAAGTAAACTCCTTGAAAGCAAGGCCACAGCTCTTTGTATCTTACCAAACACTGACATTTCATGAATACTACTTGAGACACGTTCTTACTCCATAGCCCAGGCTGGACTTGAATGGGTAAGCCTTTCCAGTGTTGGGATTAAAATGTGTGCCATCATGCCCTGCAAGAATATGCCTATATTTTGGGGTTTTTGTTATTGTCTTGGTTTGGACTTTTTTGAAACAGGGTTTCTCTGGGTAGCTCTAGCTGTCTTAGTTCTGTAGACCAGGCTGGCCAAACTCATGAGATCTGCCTGCCCCGCCTTCTAAGTGCTGGAGTTAAAGGAATGTACCACAACACAGAGCTAACAAGACACTGGCTCTCAACCTTCCCAATACTGCAAACCTTTAATACAATTCCTCATGATTTGGTGACCCCCAACCATAAAATTATTTCACTGATATTTAAGTGTAAACTTGCTACCATAATGAATCATAATGTAAATATCTAATATGTGAATCTCATGAAAGGGTCATTCAACACCCCCCCACACACACACACACAGGTTAAGAACCACTTGTTTAAGGGCAAGGAGCCTATGAGATAGCTCCGTGGGTAAAGAATCTTGCCTCTAAGCCTAAAGACCCGAGTTCCATTCCCAAGTACCACAAGGAAAAAGGACTCCAGCAAACTGTGTTCTGACTGCCACACGTCACATGTATACACACACCAACAAATTGGTGTAATTACACTCACACTGCAAAAAAAAAAATAAAATAAATATTTACCATGTATGGTGGCACACCTGGAGGCAAGAAAACCTTTGAGTTCAAGGCTAACCAGGGCTACATAGTGAAGACCCTGACTCAAAACAACAAGTAAACCCAATAAGCAAAAAGAGCTTCAGGGCAGCCCCAGATACACAGCATTGTCAGGCCAACACGGGCTACTAAGTAATCTGGTACTCTGCTTTCCTCACGCTACCCAGTTTCCTTTACCATAGCCTTTGTAGGAAACAACCTGTTTGGGTATGATACACTCTACTTCCAGGGTTTTTCGGTTTGTCTATGACGCCTTCCCACCCCCTTTCCCAGGATGAATGCGACAATGCTTGAACATTACAGCTGCAATGTGATCTAGCAAGAACAAACTGTTTATTTCTCTGGGCACACTCAGCTAGTTAAGCTATGTCCACAGACAGTCAAAAACATCTGATTAAGGCCCAAAGTCCCAGCTAGTAGGGAAGCTGAGGTAGGAAGGAAGCGGAGTTAAGGTCAGCTTAGCTACTCAGTGAGATCTTGTCTCAAAAATAAAATGTAAAAGCAGAACTGGATGTGATTCAGTGGCAGAACACTTGCCTAACTGTGTAGGAAAGGGGGAAAAAATAGCAATTTTTGATGCAGTTAATGAGAACACTTAACCCTGAGAATATGAGCAAATAGCTTAGGGCTTTCAATTAATTATGGAATACAATTTATATTTCTTCAATTTCAAGTACAGTCAGCGGGTCAGAGATGCAGCCTGGTAATAAAGGACTAGTCTAGCAGGTATGAATGACAAAGTCCCCAATGTAGGCAGAAGAGTGGGCAAGAGCCTGTGAGTATGATAAAGCAAGTAAATTAGGTAACAAGAGAAAGCTCCCACCCTACTCAGTATAATAGGGAAATCACTGGATTTGTTCCTCTTAGTTACAGGGTTTTCACAATTAGCAACAAAAACTAAACTGGGGTTGGGGAGCAGATAGCCATTTCATCAGACAGTATCGGTTCTGAATAATAAGGTGGCCAGCACTGCCATTAGGATCACTGTACTTGCCTGGGCTCTACTCTGGAAGATCCTGACTCACAGACTACAGAAAAGACTCAAGCACCTGCAGTTTTAAAAGCATACTCTATGCTTTTAATATGGGCCCATCAGGGAACCACTGCATCAGAGGCTCAGAGTAGGAAATGTGCCAGGCAGAAAGCTTATCCACCAACTGAGACAGCAAAAAAAAAAAAAAAAAAAACAAAAAAACAAAAAAACCAAACAAACAACAAAAAAAGAAGACAGACACCGGACTACCAGACTCTGCTTGTGCAGAGCTCTCTAATCCAATCACCTTCAAGCTCTGATTTAATCAGGATTGAAATCAGCCTTCATAACCAATCTGATCTCAACAGATGGGGTTTCTCCTGTCTGTCCTAGGGTCACCTACCTAGCTTTAAGTTGTTTTGTCTGCTAATCAGAAAGCGTTCACAAAACTTGAGAGCAGGAAGTCATTAAGCATATTTGAAATACTGGATCAAAATGTGAGGACAATGAAAGAGATTTACCTGAAAAGACTGAGATTATTATCTCAACCTGGAGACAGGGGAGCTGCTCCAAGCAAAGGTCCAGCTAATGCCTGATGACCTGGAGGCTATGAACTTGCTCATTAGGTCAATGGACCTTACCTTATATCCTCTTCTATCTTTGCCTGTGCTTCCAGATCAAAGGGGTCAGCAGAAAACAGACGAATCCTTTCTTGTTCTCTCCGGGCTCTGTCCTGTTGCTGCTCCACCAGGACCCTAGTAAATTTCTCTACAAAAATAAGGGAGAGACATATTTAGCTCTACACTTTCATTTTTTTAATCCATAATTTTAAAACTGCTTTTATTTCATCTGAGTAGTGGTGGTGCCTGCCTTTTATCCCAGCACTCAGGAGACAGGGGCAGGCAAATTTGAGTTTAAAGGCAGCCTGGCTTACAAAGCAAGTTTCAGGACAGCCAGGACTACATAGAAACCCTATCTCGAAAAAAACAGTATCATCAAAAACCTTTTATTTCAGATGTGTATGTGAACAGAATTTTCACAGCTACAATCTTGTATGCCTTAGCTTAAAAGTCAGAAGATAAGAATGTGTCTCCGTTTCTTAACATTTGACCTCAAACTTCTGCTGCAGCTTCCTGGGTGCTAGGATTACCTGTATGTGCTAAACACTGAATCTGGCTTTTCTTCTTTACATTTGTGTTTGTGTAGCCATGTGTATCTTTGTGCAACCACAGCCTCTAAATGGATCAGAAGAGAATTGATCTGTGGGAATCAGCTCCCTCCTTCTACTCCATGTGGGTTCAGTTCCAAAGACTGTCAGGTTTTGCCTCAAACCTGCTTCCTCATCCTCATCAGATCAGCTGCCTCACCAACTCTTACTGCCCCTTTTTATTATCATTAGAAGTTCCATTACATTGTTTCTACTCAGTTCAACAGCTTCTCTATATGCCCAAATGAGGCAGAGAAGCCTCCTCTCCTCCACTCCCCAATTGTAGTCACTACCTTACCATGAAGAACAAAACAGAGCTCTGTATAATTCCCTTTTCCTCATCTGTGCTCATTTCCTTTGTACCACAGTCGGCCTTAAGCTGGATCAGCAAAGTAGAAATCAGTCTATCACATTTCATGCTCTTGATGGAAAACATGCAGGAAAGGTAACAGAGAGCACTGCTTACTACTATAGGATGTAATTACAACAAAAATCAGTATATAAATGTGTCCAAACTAGTCTCTGACAATTAATATGCTAACATAATTAAGGAGTTGGGCATGGCTGTGCACACCTCTAAATCTGGCACTTAGAAGAGGCAGAGGCAGTAAGGTCTCTGTAGGCTTGAGGCCATCAGGGACTATAATGTTGACTATCTTAAAAAAGAAGGAAAGGAATGAAGGACACCAAGGCAATGTCATGTGAACTACAAACCTTCTCAACAGGATGTACCTAAATATTAAGTGAAAAGAAACCTTGACATAAAAGAGTATACTCTCCTACCTCAAATGCATAAAGTTTGCAAGTAGATAAAACAGATCAATGATTATCAGAAAAGTGTTGCCTATGAAGAGGAAACTGACTAGAAGAAACACAGGGGGACTTTCTGGCCAAGATTGCTTCCATGGGTAATGTGCTTAACTTGCCAGCATGAGGACCTGTGCTTGTGTGAAAAGCACACCCACATAAAACTGCTGGAGATGACAGTGCACACTTGCTCCAGGGCTCCTGAGGCCTGCTGCCAGCCAGCCTAGCCTAGCAGGGAGCAACCCTGCCTCAGAGGAGCTAGATGACATTCTTGAGGGTGCTACTTGGGGTTGCCACATGGTCAATACATGCAACTCCAACTTTAAAAAGACCGAAGCCAAGCCAGGCCTGGTGGCACATGCCTTTAATGGTAACACTCAAGTGGTAGAGGCACTTGTAAACCAGTCTGATTTTCTGAATTCAATCCCCGGCTCCCCGCAGGGGGCAGCAGAGAACATGCTCATGAGAGCTGTACTCTACCATGGCCATGGGGTGTGCTGTGCAGCTATACAAAATGTGTATAGTGTGGAAAATGAATCCTGAGTTCAGGCCCCAGAACCCATGGAGTCACACACATCTGTATAGCAGTCTCCTATGGTGAGAGAACCCCCAGAAGCTCACATACCAGCTAGCTTGGTATAGACAGTATAGTGACAAACAACAGAGACCCTGCTCTCAAAAACAAGGTGGAATATGAGGGCTGACACCCAAGGTTGTCCTCTGACCTCTATATATGTAAGCTGTGGCCACAAGTACAGACACACACAAGATTTTTTTCCCCCTTTTTTATTTTTCAAGACAGGGTTTCTCTGCATAGCCTTGGCTGTCCAGGACTCACTTTTTAGACCAAGCTGGCCTCGAACTGACAGAGATCTGCCTGCCTCTGCCTCCTTAAGTGCTGGGATTAAAGACATGCACCACCGTGCCTAGGTAAAATTAAGAAATTTTAAAAAGAAGCTGGGCATATGCTCTTAACCACAGCACTCGGGAGGCAGAGGCCCTAGTGGTTGAAAAGACCCCTCTCCCACAATCAATATGATTTCAATGAAATACAAACATGATTGTCAATTAACCTAGTCTTTGAGATTACATTAATTCACCTCTCATCAACAGACGGCCTGTACAAGAATCACCGGAGAGCCAATGGACTAAGACAGTTGCCTGGGTCTTGTGCATTTGCTCTGGCACAACTACTTCCCCTCAGGTCATCCTGCCACCCCTGCATGTGGGTGAGCTTACCAAGATCTCCACTGAGTAGAGCTTCTGCCAAGGGTGGGTTACGCTCCTTCAGCAAGGACAGCTCATGCGGGTTGGCCAGCAGCATGTCTCGAAGGAGGGCTGGATTGTCTAAGCCTTGAGGAGACGATGCTATTTCCCCAGGAGATGAGTGCTGAGCCTGTGCTCTGGGCAGCTGGCGCTGTTGGGGGTTTGACGCACCAGGCACAGCTATGCTACTGAAGTCGATCCGGGGTAAGTCTGTTGAGATCAATCAACAAGTTTACCCAAATGATGCATGCCATCAAAACAAGCATTGAAAGCCACAGCAAAACACTGACTCATTCGACATAAGGATAACTGTAGACACACTATGCCACTCTGTTCTTCCTCCAAGAGTAAATTGGCAGGAAAGAGTATGAGAAGAGGGTACTCTGGAAAGACAGTTCAGAGGTTAAGACACTGGTTGCTCTTGCAGAGGACCAGGGTTCAGTTCATAGCATCCACATGGTAGCTCAAAACAACCTGCAACACCAGTTTTAGGAACATCCCACACCCTATTCTGACTTTTGTGACCAACAGGCACACACACACAGTGCACTATACATACATTCAGGCAAAACATTCACACATACATTTTTTTAATATCTTAAAAAATTAAAAAAAAAAAAACAAACACCTCTGTATCAGGCAATGGTAACAACTACAAATTTGGAATCTACAAAATGTTCCACATCAAATAAAAGTTTTATTTAAAAAAATGTAGTTGGATGTGGTGGTGCATGTCTTTAATCCCAGTACTTGGGGAGATAAAACAAGCAGATCTCCATGAGTTCCAGGGCAACCTGGTCTACATACTGAATTCCAGGCTAGCCAAGGCTATTCAGTAAGACACCATCTCAAGCTAAATAAATAAAAGGGAAAATTTCATTTACATTTATTTGATTTCTGTTGGGAAGAGAGGGGTTGAAAGTAAGATGACAACATGGAAGAGTCCGTTTTCTCCTCCCATCATGTGAACTTCTGGGTTAAACTTAGGTGATCAGACTTGGCAGCAAGCTCCTTTACGCACTGAGCCATCTCTCTGGCCCTTTATTTAGTTAGTTTTTAGAAAACTAAATCCAGGGTGGAGATGTGGTTCAGTGGGCAGAGCAGCTGCCCAACATGCCAAAGCCCTGGGTTCAAGGCCCAGCACCACATAAAGCTATGTGGGATACAGTACATCTGTAATCCTGGTCCTCAGGAGGTAAAGGCAACAGGATTAGAAATTCAAGATATGGAAAGGGCAAGCACTGGGCCAGCATTAGTAACCTCTAGGGTGGCCACAGTGAGATCCCCAGTGGTTCTATATACAAAAAAAAAGCAGCAGGACACACACACACACACTCCCCACCACCCAAAGAAGTTCAAAATAATCAGCTACAAAATAAACTTTTGGTCACCTTGGGGATGAATGAATCTGTCTCAAACAAACAAAAAAATTGTCTCAGTAACTGCAACTGCCTAATTCTAGTATGGCCCTAGAGCCATACTGAGCTAGGCATGGTGGTGCAGGCTTTTAATTCAGGAAGCAGAGGCAGGTGGATCTCTCTAAGTCTGAGGCCAGCCTGCTCTACATAGTGAATTCTAGAACAGCTAGAACTACATAAAGAAACCTTGTCTCAAATAATAATAATAATAATAGTTTATTGTTACTGTGTGTGATGTTAAGTGTGGGCATGTGTCCCAGAGCACACTTGCTGTCTTAGTCACTGTTCTATTGCTGTGAAGAGCCGCCAAGACCAAGTCAACTCTTACAAAAGAAAACATTTAATTTGAGGATTGCTTATAGTGTCCGAGGTTTAGTCACTGTCATCGTGGCAGGGAGCATGGTGGCATGCAGGCAGGTGCTGGAGCAGTAGCTGAGAGCTTGCACAGGAGTACCTTTTACCCTTTGGGCCATCTTACTGGCCCTGGTTCTTAAGAGATTTGCTAGGGCCAGAGAGATGCCTCAGTAGTGAAGAGCACTTGCCCTTTGCAAAAGACCCAGGTTCTAGTTCCAGCATCACTTATGAGCTGGTCAGCAGTGGCACACACCTTGAACCCCAGCACTCGGGAGGCAGAGGCAGACACCTCTGTGAGATGGAGACCAGCCTGGTTCCAGGACAGCCAGCCCTACACAGGGGGGGGGGGGGGGGAGAATACTGTATGTACCACGTGAACAGCATAAATACTTCATGTCAAATTCTATATAACAAAGTACTCTAGGCACTGTATGAGGAAATATGGGGAGGTTCTTCACACCTCTCTGAATTTAGTTTCATCTGTGCATCCCAAACACACATGGTCCTGGGAAGTAGGTGGGAACAACTGTTTTACAGACTGAAGAACTGAAGAGCAGTAATTTTTGACCCCAAGTTTGGACTGTTCTACAACCTCAGTCTTCCCACAGGAGCCTACACAATGCATGATTCCATTGCTATGAAATGCCCACAACAAGTGAACATAAAGACAGAAAGCAAACTTGCTGGGTGTGAGGGAAAACAATGAATGACCACACACAACGAATGAAGTAAATAGAGACAGACTGACAGCGGCACAACTCCACAAACATATCAACAGCCACTCAATTTTATCCTTTAAATGGGTGAATCGTGTGGAATGTGGTTTCATCTCAATAAATCTGTTAAGTAAAAGATAGTATGGTGGCTTATGTCTGTAATTCTAGCACACTAGAGAAAAAAAAAAAAAAAAACAAACTAAAAAAAACTAGAGCCAGAATGAGACAATGACCCTGAAAAAAATCCACCTTATGTTCAACCCTAAAACTCATTTAATGACCAACCTTGTCCTGAAACTGAGACAACTTTGTCCTGAAGTTCTTTGTGTCTCAGCTACAAAAAGGGAATGCTTAAATTCATGTCTAAGGTTCCATCCTCATAAAAGTTCAACTAGTAATTATCTTAAAACAGAGGCCAACTGGCAGGAGTGAGAGATGGGGCACACAGAACAAAACATTTAAGCAACGGAAAGTGAGTGAAGTAAAGGCGAGTGGTGGCAGGCTGCCTGAGGAGCTGTGGTCTCTACCAACCACCAGAAGAACATGGGTGGGGCTATCTCTACAAGTAGAGAAACTGACGTTCCATCATGCCAGTTCATTCACTTCAAAATTATTTTGAAAAACTTGTTTACTTAATAAACCAAATCTCTACATATACCTCTCCCCTCACAGCAACATACTGTGTTGTCCATATACAAACAGCAAAACAACAACAACAACAACAAAAAACCAAAACATAGAAACAAAAACAAAACTAATACAGCGTCTCTAGTACCACCTCATAAAGTTCCCGAGGGAAGATTTGGTTTCTACCGACTGGCAAACGAGAACTGCTATCTTTGTAAAGCAGAAGCCCAAGGGACGGATTAAAATCAAGTGGACACAGTGAGTGCCTGAGATGGACTTGTAGTCTGAATGGTTATCACTATGCTCCAGGCTGCAGTGTGTCACCTAACACACCTCTCAGCCTATTACCATAAACCTTAGAAGCAGGAGACCTAAATACCATTTGAAAATTTTCATAAAAATATGGCGGCGGAGGGGGGGCACATTTCACCATGTAGTTCTACATCAGGGCTTGGAAATTCTGAGTCATGAGTTCCTTTGAGTAGCTAAAGGAAGCGATGGGCCCTCTCAGCATCAAGCACATATGCGCCTGCTCCCACACAGTCCTGCATATTTAGAGACACTGAAACCTCCTAAACCTAAATGCAAGCTCCAGACTATGAACACCACGACTGCCTGGGTGTGTGGGTGCATGTCTGTAATTCCAGACCTTGGGAAGATGAGGCTGAGGGCCACCTTGGGTCATAGAGAGAGTTCCATGGCTACACTGTGTTGCGGAACTCTGTCTTTAAAGAGGAAGGGCGCACGTGTGTGTGTGTGGGGTTTAATCCAGGAGCAATAGCTCAGTAAAGAGTGATTTCTTTTTTTTTTAAAGTGATTTCTTGATGATTGCTAACACACACATAGGAGCTCATAACCACCTGCAATGCCAGTTCTATAGGCTCTGATACCACTGATGTCTGTGGGCACTTGCACTCATGAGTACAACCCCCCACCACATAATTAAAATCATAAACTCCAGTTCCCGAAGATCTGACACCCTTTTCTGGCCCCCACAGAAACTGTATACACATAGCACACAAAGAGGCAAAATATCCATACATATAAAAACAAACCATTTAAAAATATTAACAAAAGGAAGAGAATTCCCCAATGTGAATGGTGCACCCAAGACTAGTAGCAGTGTCAGGGAGGGACCCAGACACGATGCTGCAACCACTTAAATCTGCCAAGTTTGAAATAACAGAAGAAAGTGCTGGGCACAGTGGTACATACCTGTAATCCCAGCACTCAGGGAGGCAGAGGCAGAGGCAGGTGGATCTCTGAGTTCAAGGCGAGCCTTGTCTACAAAGTGAGTCCTAGACAGCCAAGGCTACACAAAGAAACTCAAAAAAACAAAGGAAAATAACAGAAAACGCAACATTTCAATCACTATTTTTACTAACTAGCTACTCAACTCTGATGACATCTTTTAAACTTGAGTTTCATTTCTTGATAAGTAAACTGGAATTACTTCCCCCACAACCAAGCATGAAGACCAATGAGATTTGGGTTCACATGCCTGATGGCTAGATATACTGGAGTAAGTCAGTGAAAAAGCAGCACAAGCTAACCCAGTCTCCTACTCCTTCCCAGGAATGAACATTATCACAAAACCATCACTGAGAACAGCAGAGGCTAACCTTGACTGAGGGCTTGCCATGTGCCAGCTCTTGTGGCTGGGTTATGATACCTACCTTATGAAAGAAGAGTCCCTGCAGTCAGGTCTACACTCTGCTAGTCTAATTCTAAAACACAAACTCTGCTCTATGTACTGACGTTTGTATTGGAAGGTGGTAAGTCTTACTTGAGAACTGCACTGGAGGGCGAGGGTCTGCATTCTCCTTCTGTCGTAGAATTACAACATCGCCATCTTTTAAGCCATACGAAGCCAATGACCTGTGGTTGTCGGTGAGAGGTCTTTCTGCGTAGACAATCTGCAAGGGAAGATTTAGCTGTATAAAGTACTGAGAAGCAACATGGAACCATCCCTAACAAGTGTATTTGAAGTAAACTATACTTTCCTCATATAATATGCTACATGTTGATCTGCTCCTTGGTCTTTCTGCTCAAATGATATATAGGCTATGTGGAAAAATGATTTTCTTCAGCTGCCCATCACAGATGCTTAGGATAAGGCCTGCCTGTTACATAACAAATGCCTCTCAAGAAGCCTCTCAACAAAGAAGTTTGCTCAAGTAAAGGATGGGTGGGTTCATATAGTAGGGAATCTTAGCAGCCAGGGAAACAGGCTCTGGGTATGTTCACTACAAGGGGAATGATGTATAGTTTTAGCTAGCAATGGTGGTACATGCCTGTGATTCCAACACTGAAAGGCCAAGGTAGAAAAACTACCTTGAGTACCAGGCCATCCAGAACTTCAGTGAGACACTGTCTCAAAAACCACAAAACTAAAGCCCAGTACACATGTAACAATAATTATAAAACAGAAGAGGGGGTCACAAACAGAAGAGGGGGTAGAAATAATCAAACACAGTACTCAAAGATCAAGTTATCAAAAAATAGATAGATAGATAGATAGATAGATAGATAGATAGATAGATAGATAAATGTTTAAAAAAGCAAAACATCTGAGAAAGTGATAATAAAGAAATTTAGGGAACTGGAGAGATGGCTCAGAGGTTAGCAGCATTGGCTGCTCTTCAAATGTCCTGAGTTCAATTCCCAGCAAACATGGTAGCTCACAACCATCTATAATGAAATCTGGTGCCCTCTTCTGGAGTGCAGGTATACATGCAGACAGAACATTGCATGCATAATTAAATCTTAAAAAAAGAAAAGAAAAGAAAAGAAACTCGAGATAAAAAGATTAATTGTGGGGCTGGAGAGATGACTCAGAGGTCCTGAGTTCAATTCCCAGCAACCACATGGTGGCTCACAACCATCTATAGTGAGATCGAGTGCCCTCTTCTGGTGTGAAAGTGTACATGCAAACAGAACTTTATATACATAATAAATAACTAAATCTAAAAAAAAGATAATTGTGTTTTTCAACTGAAAAACAAACCCACAACTATGGTAGTTGGTTGGAATCTTAAGAACTTTAAGACACTAGCAGGTCTTCTCTTTTACCATCCCTAAAGTTTTACTGCTCTCATGTTTATGAGAAAAATATAAATAGGAAAGAAAACCATGTTGAATTAAATACTATGAACAGAAATGCTTTCTGTGGTGTCAAACACAGAAGCAAAGTGTAGTGAGAGGGAAGGGAAGAACAGAGCACACATAAGCACACTGTGACTTTGCCACGTAGGGATGGGAAACCATCCCTATGTCATGTACTCCACAGAACAAACTGGAGCTTGGCACAGCTTGCTCACTAAGCATTTACTCTGCACTGGGTCACAAGCTAACTGAGCAACCTGAGCTGGGTACTAACTCAGCCAGGAACTGTGAGAGGGCCCTGTCACTAGGTGGGCCAGGTGTCAAATTTCTTGTTGTCAAGCACAAGGACTGATCAGACCACGTGTCTTCTCTAGTTCTTTTTCCATGCTGAACTCAGGGCCTTGTTCTTGCTAGGCAACTTGTCTTACCACTGAGCTGTACCACCAGCCTTCCCTCACCTATCCACATACTCTTTTAGCAAAGTTCCTGGGCACAGAACAAACAGACGGCATTTACACTGACTATTCCAAGCATTCACTGTCATTTTGCTCCCAAGTTTGTGATGATATGGACAAAACAAAACAAAAAACAAACAACCACAAATTGACTCCTTCCAGAGACAAGATAACAGAATCTGTTCAATTTTATAAGTTTTATGTATGACTAAAAATTACTACAACCATCACTGTCATCTTGTCACAACACTTATCTAAGTGCAGATCTCATACTTAAAGGAGATAGAAAACAATTGATTCTTTTCTTCTTTTTGGTAATATAATGGAGAGTAATACTATATATAATTTGTGGGTGTGAGTGGTAAACAACCATAAACCAGTCACAGGTTGAGGTATACCTGTTGGGTGATCAACACCACTCAGCCACTGTGTGAGCTCACAAATAGTCCATGGTCTACTCAAACATCTCAGGTTCAGAGTCAGCTGTCAGTGTAAGGACACATAACTAGCTCCCAAGGCAGATACTCAGACATCCACCTGCCTCTGCCTCCCAAGTGCTGGAATTAAAAGTGTGTGCCACTGCCGCCCAGCTACACTACATTCTTATTTGAAAATGTATTCATTTATAGAGAACCAAACTCAGGAAGATCAGAACAATTTAGGGAATAAGGCTGTGGTTCAGGAGGAGAGCTTCTGCTTGTCATAGAAGGGAACAGCACAAGACCACTGAATTCTCCTCCAGTGGGACAATATGGAAATCCAATGTTTTTTGTTTATTTGTTTGGTTTTGGAGACAGGGTTTCTCTGTGCAGCCTTGGCTGTTCTAGACTTGCTTTGTAGACCAAGCTGGCCTCAAACTCACAGAGATTCTCTTCCCTCTACCTACCTGAGGGCTGGGATTACAGACCTGCATCACCAAGCCCGGCTGGAAATTCAAATTTTAAAAGAACACTCTGCTACCACTGAGTGAAACTACCAGGCTATAACATGCCAAGTTCCTATTCTCCCACTTAACCCGCAAGCTTTCTCACTGGTTGTCACATCGTTTTAACAGGGATCATTTGTCCAATTTTATGGAACAGAATATTCCAAGGCCATATAGCTATTAAGAGAACTGAAATTGGTTTTCTATGTGCTTGACATTAAGAATGATATTCCTTTACAGTTTCCCAAAGCAGTCGCAGAAACTAAACTGGCCTCTAAGCCTTCTTCCACCAACTAAGGATCCACACCCCCACTGTCAGTGAAGGTGCCTGCTATGTGAAGGTCCTGGGTTCAATTCAATATGGGGGTATAGGACACACATACAACTGCTGCCTTATTCTAAACATCAAGTAATACTGGGACTGGGGACGGGGGGGGGGGGGAATGAAGCTCAATGGTGCAATACTACAAAGAACAGGATAAGGCGGGGGGGGGAAGAAATATTGCAATGCTTGGAGTCTTCTTAGTTGGCCCAAATGTCATGGACACATCTGGAGGTATGTTTCACTAATCCCCTGGGAAGCCTAATTCAGCTGTGCTGACAACAAAATTAGCCATCACACTGGATAGAGAACATAGTCATAAGAACCAAAATCAGCAGGTAACTGGAACATGGACACACACTGTAAATCCCAACACTCAGGAGGATAAGGAAGGAAGGTTAGGAGTAAGGCCAGCCTGGGCTATTGAGATCCTAGCTCAACAAAGTTTAAGAAAGACAGTAACTTTGGATCTTAAGTCCTTAAGTAAATCACCCTATAGCCAGACATTATGGTACAGCCTGTAATCCCAGTACTTGGGAAGCAGAGACAGGAGGGTAAGTGGCTCAAGGCCAGCCTGAGCTATCTGAGACCTGTCTCAAGCAAACCCATGCCATCTTCCAACTCAACAGGAATGACTAGATCAATGACTTCAAGTCTCTGATTAGGCAAACAAATGGCAAGCCAGTGATGGCTCTGGTGCAGCCCTCTACCACATCTGTTACTCTCCTCAAAAGCTGGTAGAGAAAACCTGAACCCTGCTATTCAGAACAGCCTACAGGAGAAATGTACATTTTCAAGGTGTAAATCTCAAGAATTGGTACAGCAGCTAGTACTGACACCAGAGAAACATTCTAGAGACATTATTCCAACCTTAATCAACACCTAACAGACTCATTAATACAACTCCAAATCTTTAAGCATGACATCAAATGTCTTTGGTCTCGAAGAATGTGGTGGGTGACTCATGCCTTTAATCCCAACATTCAAGAGGCTGAGGCAGGAAGATCTCTGAATTGGAAGCCAGCCTGATCTACAGAGTGAGTTCCAGGACACCCAAGGCTACATAGAGAAACCCTGTCTCAAAAAACTGGGGGTTTGGGGGGAGGGATGCTTCCTAGTCTCTGAAAGCACTCTACCAAAGCTATCCCAACCCAGCAGATCTTAATTTTTTTTTTGAAACAAGGTCTCACTACTTCTTATGTAGACCAGGTTGGCCTAAGGATTTAGATATCCACCTGTGTCTGCCTCCAATTGTTGGGTTTACAGGTTTGAGACACCACGCTCAGCATCCAACAAAAACTTTTGCTTTGTTTTTTGAGACAGGTTCTTACTATATAGCCTTGGCTGGCCTGAAACCTGAAATGAAGACCAGGCTGGCCTTAAACTGTGAGTTTCAAATAACAAACAAAAACTAACCAAACAACCACCAAAACCAAACTAATAAACACTCAATGTGCAATTATCTCTGGATTATGAGGAATTAGAAAGTGCTAGCATTTCTGTTGTTGTTTTTTTGAGACAGGGTTTCTCTGTATATAGCCTTGGCTGTCCTGTACTCAAGATCCGCCTACCTCTGCCTCCCTGAGTAATGGGATTACAGGCCAGTGCCACTGCGCCTGGTGAGTGCTAACATTTTTATTCTTTTCTGTGTTACTATAACGACTATTCAGCATTTGCCAAGGAGGAAAAAAGATGAAAATTATTTAAGGAAATAAACATACCAAAACTAGTCACAATAGAAACTTTCAGTTTCCATGGTTTAAAACAGCATTTCTATAAACCACACACAGGCATTTCCAGGGTCAGTTACTGCTGTGAGTTGCCCTTTAACATGCCTTTCATTGAGGGTCTTTGCATTCTGTACAGGCTTTTACTCCATGCTACCTACAGAAGTAAGTTTCAAAAGTCTCAAGACATTAATTTAATATGAGCTAAGTTCTAATAATTGTTTCAAGTTGGCCCAGCCAAGCCAGCATCAAAGCATCACCCTGAGCCTGCCTGGCTGCCAAGCCCACACTTGCACTGAGACTGAAAAGGTCTTGCTTTAATCACAGTACAAGTGGAGATGGTTTCTTTTCTAAATTTATTGTCACCTCATTAGAACTACTATAGTCAGACTAGAGCTATTAAAAAATTAACACCTTTTCTAAGAATCTTGTGTACAGATGATGCTAATGAAAGACGGTGTTCCAAACCAGTGCCCCCTGTATGGGACAGGCACGCAAGACAGTTCAAGGGTTAGGAAGAAAACAGAAGGCATGAGAGCATTTATTTATTTATGCGTTATTTATGTGTACTTCGCCGCATGCATATACATGTGCCGTGTGTCTAGAGTTACTGACAGTTGTGAGGCACTGTGTGGGTGCTGGAAAGCAAACCTCTGAAAAAGTCCTTTATAAAAGCAACAAGTGCTCTTAATTTACCTGTCTCAACCTCATTTCTAGTCATTCTAGTTTATCCTTATTTAACCCCCATCCCTAGACAGGGTTTCTCTGTGCAGCCCTGGCTGTCCTGTACTTAGTCTGTAGACCAGGCTCACCTCGCACTCAGAGATCTGCCTGTCTCTGCCTCCTGCGTTCTGAGATTAAAGGCATACAACCCCTTTGAGGCTTAGCTTATCTTTCTTGAATTCTATTTTGTATCTCATTATAATGTACATTATTACTCACTGTGCATAATAACTGATGTATAGTATGCACACATGAATACCTGGCAGCTCTAACTGCTATGTATCATACAAGAGAACATGCACACACGTGTACAAGTAGCACATCAAACAGCCGTTTATGTATAAGGTACTATGAGAATGATCCAAACACTTTACTTACGACCTAAGGATAGTAAGTTTAGGACAGAAACCCTCTCCACCTGCGCATGTGATTAACGTGGGACACGCTCCATCTCAGTGCAAATGTAACTGACTCGGTAGCCAAGCAGTAACACACTTGGCATGTTTGGATGGCAGTGGTGAGGAACGCAAGGAAGGATCCTGAAGAAATGGAGTCAGAAATAGGAGGTGAAGAAATGGGGATGGAAAAAAAACTTTAGCTCAGTGAAGTAAACATACTGAAAAAAAATCTGAGAAGGGTCAAATCAGAAAAACTGGTTGGGGAGCTCAAAGAAGAAATGATTGGGAATTAAAAACAAAAAACTATAATGTTTACTTTCAGGATCGAATGAAAGGAAGTGACTCACGTGTCTGGGATGGATCCTGTTCCTGCCTGAGAGGGCTAGCCAGTGAACTAGACAAGCGACCCCCACTTAAAAATCAGCTCTTAAAATAGATACTAAGTTGTCAGCTTACATAGAGCCAACAGCACTAACTTGAAAAACAGGGTGCTGTTTACAGCTATTTAATACAGGCTTAACACTAGCTGGAGTCCAGGTTTCTGTACACTCATTTGGGTTAAGAAGAAAGTAAATACCAAATGGTGATGCCAGCAGAGGCAGGATTTAGAGCTAGCCTAATTGTTCAAACAGTATCTCTAAAACCCCAAACTGGCAAAAGACAGAGCCCTTTTTACCCATACAATTATCATTAAATCTGATACCCCTTTAATTTACTTCAAGTTTGTTTGTTGTTTTTGTTTTTTTTTTTTTTACAGACATCTGAGTGCCATGGGCCAGGGAGTGGTAGCATGCTGCTTGCCTGGCAGACATAAGATACAGCCAGCCAGCCAGACACAGACAGACAGACAGACAGACAGACACGATGATGAGAAAAAAAGTCAACCCCTGTTCAATCTCAAGTCCTACTAACAAACTCACAATTATTCCGAATCAACTGGCAATTATAACTTGGGTAATCAAAACAGCAACACACACACAAAACTGAAACAACTTCAAAAACTGTAAAAGTGAAGCTGGTCATGGTAGTGTATACTTGTAATCCCAGCAGTGCAGGAACCTGAGGCAGAAGGATTGCTGTTTTGAGGCCAGCTTGGACCCCGAAGTTGAAACCTTGTCCCCTAAACCCAAAACAGCTGCTTGTGATGGCTGAAGCCTTTAATCCAAACACTTAGAAGGCAGAGTCAACAGGGATCTCCATGAGTTTAGATCTGGGAGCCAATCTGATCTATACGGTCAGACACTGCCTTTAAAAACAATGGTATCTTTAAACCCAGCACTTGGGAGTTCGAGGCCAGCCTGATCTACAAAGCAAGTTCCAGGACAGCCAAGGCTACATACAGAGAAACGTCTCGGAAAAACCAACCAAACCACCAAACAAACAAGAAACCCTCTAAAAGTCTCTAGTTGCAGTTTGCCACTGAGGGTGCCCAACAGAAACTGGTAGTAGGTTTCTATGGGTTAATTTTTCTATGGAAATTGGAGAACTGGTTATTCCCTAGCTTTTTTGCCAGACTGCATTTGTGAGTGACACCTCGCCCCTTACGACAGATCCTTCCAGAAAAAAGTTATACACCAAGGTACTAAAGTTCATATTGTGTAAAGGAATCACATTTCTGAACAAAATATTGACACATGTTTACCATAAGTCAGGACAGAACAAGCAGTGGTTGGGCAATAGATTTTGGAACTATTTCATAACTGCAGAAGGAAATCAGGATTTACATTCTGGGGCCTTGGGAGGCGTCTATAATTTTTTGGTGTTTAGACGATACCCAGCGAGGCCCACTTTGGAAAGAATCTTAAGTGTTTTAGTGCAATGGTTAGACAGTAGCCCACCTATTGTTTGACGAAGACTACTGAAGGCTCCAAAGCATTTTAGGAGTATATTTTCTTGTTAGAAACGTAATAGAGACTTAGCTCCTCGCCACCGAGTCCCTCGGAGGTCTCCAGACAGTAGGCCATTTTCAAGCTAATGTCCTTCGAAACCACTGACCCAACTGAACTGGGACCAGAAAAGAGGAGAGCTTTGGTCTGAGAGAAGCCAACAGACTGAGTTGACCTAACCATTACTTAACAAAAAAATAATAACCAGAAACGCATGCCGTAGGGAAGCATTTCCAGAGACGTCAAAGGCAGAGCGAGTCTCAAACTTTCCCCCTCACTTTCAACTGCAAATCTGCATGCTCCCAGGTAAACTGCGCATACTGACACAAGCACTCGGTCCAAATAAGCGAACCTCAGACCAGCCTCTATCTCCCAGTGATCCAAACTGGTATTTCTGGTTTGGAGAAGCAGGAGATGTGGACCCGGAGCTCCCGAGGGCCAGAAGTGGGGAGGGCTGCCCACCCGTGCACGTGCCCCTCTAGCTGCAGTGGGTGCACCTACGGGCGGCTGCACGACTCGTCCCCGCCGCCCCCCAACTCCCCGGCCGCAGCGGCTGGAGGCCCCGCTTGCTGCCCCGGCGTACCTGGCTCTCGGCGGCGGGGATGCCGGACTCGAGCTCGCACAGCGCGCGGAAGTTGTGCAGCTCGAAGTCGGCGTCGACCTGGAGGGAAAAGGTCACCTCGGAGAGGTCCCTCCGCACACAGTACACGGTGAGCAGCATGGCCCGGGCCCGACCCGACCCGGCTCGGCCCGGCCTGGGCTCTGGGTGAAGGGCAGCCGGCGGCGAGGGGCCTGGCGGGAGCTGCGGGAGGGCGGCGGGCGCGGGCTGCTCGCTCGCTCGCTCTCTCCTTCCCTCCCTCACACGCGCGCAGTGACTCACTCGCTCCCGCCCTCAGCAGCCAGCGCGGCCGCCGCCACCCGCCTGCGAGGCCGTCTGCCTGCCGGCCTGCCTCCCACAGCTGCCGTCAAGCGCGCGGGCCGCCCGGCGCCCCGCCCCGCCGCAACGCGGCTGCCGTAAAGCGCGCCAGGCTGCGGCCGCCTTCGCGACGCGCTGGGTGTGGGGCGGGGCTGGGAGAGCTGCTGGGAGGAAGGTGGGGGTGAGGGAAAGCCGGGGCTAGTTACCTTAATAACTGAATTCGCGAGTGCTCCACCATCCCAGTTGTTCATCCAACAGGCACCTACTGTGCGCTTGGATGAAAGACACGAGTCCTCGCCTTCAACTCTCCATCTGCTGTGGGAGACTTAACTAAGCAGATCTTTCTAAAAACAGATTTTTCGAAATGGAAGATGGCATTTGGTAATATTAACTCGTTTTCGTCTTGGTAATGAATGTAGGACAAAAACCTAGATCCTTGCTTTAAGGGGGCGCATCGCAGCCTGCGGAGGCCTAGGGCAGTGCGCCTCTGTGCTGGCAGCCACACAGCTCAATTCTCCTTAGTTACCTCACTCTCGGATTGCATCCCTCTCCCAGCTTTGGCATTCCAGCACTGACCTTTACTGGGCACAGTTTAGAATCTGCGCAGTATACTGGGACTGGTGGTCCAAACTCAAGGCCATGAGTTCCAGGCCAGTCTGAACAACTTGTTTTGAGAAGGGGGTTGCTAAATAGTTCATTGATAACTTGCCTAGCATGCCCAACACTCAATCCCTTGCCCTACAAAAAGAAAAGTACTTGTAAATTCAGAGATATAGAGACCCCGACATAAGAATGGTAAAAATGCAGAAACTCCTCCGGACCCACTAGGGTGGTCCACGTTTGTAATCCCAGTATGGCAGAAGCAGAGGCCATACTTGCCAAGACAAGGATTGCCACTCCAGGCTCCACAGCCTCCTCCAGCATAACAGGAAGGAAACAGGAAGCAGGATGACTGTAGATACCGCGAGAACTTCGGTTTGTTTGCAGAACAGACAGAACTTCTAGGTGCAGACTTTTACCAAGAAGTGGAGAAGCTGGGTCCCCAGGACAGTCAGTGCTGCTATCAAGGATCAGAAGACAGAAAGCCCAGGCACTGTGCAAACGAAAGGAAAATTATAATGAAAACAACACTTAAAGAGCCTTTCAAAATGGAGTTAGGAAATCTAAGAAGGTTTCTGAGGACGCCAGTTGCCTTGCAGGATGTGAACTCTAGTCACCTTCACACTTCGCCTGTGTCATCTGAAAGAGATGACTGGGATCAAGATGTCATTATTGTATGAATTGTTCCTTTAAAAATATAAAAATTTAAGCCAGCTGGTGGTAGTGCATGACTTTAATCCCAACGCTTGGGAGGCAGAGGCAGGTCTACACAGAGAAACCCTGTCTCAAAAACAAACAAAAATCAAGTTTATATATGTGTTCTGCCTGCGTGCTTGTCTGGGCACCAGTGTGTACCGTGCTGGTGAGGAGAAAGAGGATGTCAAATTCCCTAGGACTGGAGTCAATGGCAGTTGGGAGCCGACATATGGGTGCTGGAATTAAACTTGGATCTAACCTCTGGTAGAGCTGCCAGTGCTCTTATCTGCTGATCCATCTCTGTAGCAGCCCCAACCCTTTTTTGAGAGACGGTCTCACTATGTAGCCACAGGACTACATAGACCTACATGTAGACCAAGCTGGTCTTGAACTCAGAGAGACCCACCTGCTTCTGCCTCTCAAGTGCTAGGATTAAAGGAATGCACCACCATGCTGTCTTGAAAGCATGTCACATAGACCCACCCTTTCATACAACAATTCTTTCCCAGTTTCAATGGAGGTTCACTTTTCACCCATTTCAGATCAATTTTTCCCTGCCTTCTTTATTTACAACCCGGAGTCTGCATTCTATGAACCTGTTACACCTGAATTGCCACATCCTTTAGCTTTCTGAGCTTGAATTGATAGATGTTATCTGTAGCTTTCACAAGTAAGGGTTTGTTTCCTCACAGGCTAGAGGCTTGGACGGGCAGCTTTTCTGGTTCAGTAGCTCAATGGTAGGAGGGCCAGTACTTTGACCTGCCTCTAAGGATTCAAAAATTCTTTTGGCATTTCCTCAAAGATTTCAGTGTGGCCAGAGTCTCCATACTATGAGTCATTTTGTCCAAGGTTGGAGCTTGCCTAGAAGTCAGTCAACAGATTTTTGGCTTGTATCTTACTGAACAGACCTGTGCCAAGTAGCTATAAGACAGGCTAGGACAGCAGGTGTTTAACATTTTCGACAAGCTTCAATGGTCACTGTCAGGAAAAGGGGGGTGAAGACATTGGTAGATAGAATCTACATGACGCTTTCTAAAGCAGAGAAGCTTTAGAATAGCAGAAGCAAGGGAGGCAAATTCCAGAGGCTTTTCAAGTGGTGTTGAATCAGCTGAGGTGGAGTTTTTAATGACTGATTTTTCAGATATATATGTGTGTGTGTGTATGTGTGTGTGTCATTTTAAGCATGTAGTGTTTTGCCTGCATGTATGTATGTGCACCATGTGTCTGCTGATGCCCCAAAGGCCAGAAGGAGGTATCTGATCCCCTGGAACTAGAGTTGCAGAGAGTTGTGAGCCACCATGTGGGTGCTGGGAACCAAACCTGGGTCCTCTGCAAGGACAAGCACTCTTAGTGGCTGAGCCCTCCCTAGCCTCTCTGTGATGTTTTTGCTACTAGTGCTCAGGTTCTTGGTTCCTCAAGAACATATTTTTTGAAGGTGGTCATAACAATTGCCCCCATCCTCTATGTTTTTTTCTTCCAATAAGCAGTGCCATGTGGGGCTGGAGAGATGGCTCAGTGGTTAAGAGCTCTGCTTGCTCTTTCAGAAGATACTGACTCAGCTTAGTACTCAAGTTGGGCAGTTTACAACAGGTAGGGGACCCAGTGGCCTCCTCTTGTGTCTTTGGGTACTGAATGTACTTGGTGCACATACACACGTACAGGCACACGCACACACACACACACTAAATAAGTGTTAAAAGAAAAGGGAAAGAAGTGGTATGTGAGCTGGACATGCAGAGCATGTGTGTGATCCCAACACGGGGAGGCAGAATTGAGAGGCCATTCTTAGGTACCTGAGCACACGCTGACATCGTGTGTCAAGGCAGAGTCGGAGCGGGGCTATAGAGCACCTGGCAGAGTGCTTATGTAACATGCACGAAGCCGTGGCTTCGATCTCCTGAACTGCATACAATGAAGCATGGGCACACATGTCTATGATCCTAGGCATGTGATAGAGGCAGGAGCCTCAGAAGATGAAGGCCATTCTCAGCTCAAAAGAGAATACGAGACGAGTTTAATTCAGGGGAGAAAAAGTCCCCGCGTTTGAATTGTGGTGTAGATTGACTCTGGGTTAGTGAAGCTTTGTGGGTTCTAAGCTGAGGTCTGTCTGACTGGCAGCTCAGATTTAGCCCGCTTCTCTTAGACAATTCGCTCTCTGGATCCAGTGAGGAAGGGCTCATTCTCTCTCCAAGTGAGGACACCATGGAGAAAACACATAGCTACTCCAGGTAACAGCTTAGCTGATGACAAAGCAGCTCACCAGGAAGACCTAGCAAGTGTCTGAGTTTAGAAACTTCCAGATGAACTCAGCTCTTGCCACTGAGTCATCGACAGCCCTTGAGACTTTCCACTTGAGGCTCCAGACATCTCGGAGCCGTCTCCTCTGTATGCTACTCTGAATTTCTGGCTCACACAATCTGTGACCATCATAAAATGGAGTTGTGAATTAAAAACTCAGCCTACAAGACAGACTTTGTACTTCCCTCCCTGTTGCCACAAATGACTGGACACGTTTCCATTCTCCATCCCTAATTAGGCTGGAGTGACGTGAAGGTTTAGAAGAGGGAGTCTCAGAACCTGAGTCCTGCTCCAGAATAAGAGGACTCACCAAAAATGGGCCCCATTAATTGATCGCTGCTGTGAAGCAGCTTTCAAGTGATCGCTGGGTTTACTGAATGCTGGCTGTGTGCCAAGAACTCTTCTGAGTACTTTGTGTCCAGTCACTGAACCCTTAGGAAAAGGCCATGAGGTATTTATTACCTTCATTTTACAGAGACAGGGGTCAACCTCTCACCTAAGGATACAAAAAACATTGAACAGCAGCTCCAGGAGTCGAAAGAGGCAGTCTGACTTGAGCCTACAGTCTTGCATATTTCTAGAGACAGGACCTATGTCATTTACCCTCACCTGGAACTCTCAGTCCTCCTGCCCCAGCCTCCAGAGTGCTGGTATTAGAGGCATGAGCGTGCTGAGCCTACAGTCTGTTTCGGAAGCTGTGGTGCCACCAGGCCCAGCAAGCCTATGGTATTAACCACTATATTAAGATGCCTCAGATAGGAGTTTATTCTTTAAAATGTTCCCAGAAAGCCTCGTTTTCATTTCAAGACAAGAAACTGGGGGGAGGGGAGGAGGCACTTTAATTTAAATTCACACAGCTAGTAATTAAGAGACTTTTCAAATTGGAAGAAGCTAAGAATCTAACTCTCAGGCTGGAGCTGTGACTCTGTGGTTAAGATCACATGCTGCTCCTGCAGGGGACCAAGTCCAGCTCCCTCCCAGAACTCAAGCTGGCTAGCTTCCAATAGCCCATAATGCAAGCTCCAGGGAATTTGAAACCCTCTTCTGGCCTCTATGGGCACCTACTCACATATGTATGTAATTAATAATAAAACAATAAGCTAAGCGTCTATTTCTTCCCTCAGCTGGAGCACAGGCCCACACCTGTCACAATGCTGTGCTCCCAAACCCCTTGGTTACTCCATGGTCCCTGACAACAGGGTTCCTGTCTCCTCCTCTGTTCTTGCCTAACTCTTCTCTCCTTGAAATAGCCAACCAGCTAAAGACTGTTCAAAGCAGACACTTATTCCTCTTAATTTCTAGCTTATCAAATGAGTAGATAGAACTTAATTTTAAGCCAGGTATGGTGGTACATGCCTGTGATCCAAGCACTTGGGAGGCAGAGGCAGGTGGATCGCTGTGAGTTTGAGGCCAGCCTGGTCTACAAAT